GAGAAGGCGGCCGACACCATGACACTACCACCACCAAAACGATTGTGCTCACGGACGTTGACGTCAGCAAAACGTTCCCCACGCCGTCTGTAGACAAAAACACGACCGTCATTATGCTGCAGTGAGAACCGAGATTCGTCAGAAAAAAGAACTGCTGACCACTGTTGTCTTGTCCACTGTCGGTGTTGCCCTGCCCATGCGTCTCTGGCTGCTCTGTGACGCGAAAGAAGAAGCGGTCTAACGGCTTGACGTCGGGGCCTGATGTTTCTTTCCCTCATACGGTTTCTTATGGTTTGGTCACTGACATTTGTTCCTGTAGCAGCCCCCACTTGCCTTTGAAGATGGTTTGCTGTGACTGTTCTCCTCCTCAATGCTTCAACAACGACGTACCGGTCTTCTCTTCCTGTTGTCACACGAGGGCGTCCTGACCTTGGTCTATCACGTATTGTCTGTGTTTGTTGGAATCGCTGACGTAATCTGCAAATGACGGATGGACTAACATTTAACCTTCGAGCAGCTTCCCGCTGTGAAACATTCTCATTTAGCCACCCAATAGCTCTGGCTCGTTCTTCAATCGTGAGGTGTCGACGTTGTAGCATGTTGAACACAGTGATGCAGTTTCATAGCGACCTGCCTTTATCAACCCAAATTTCGCACAAACATTCCTTGTGGCTCGTGCTTCATGAGAATAAGTGAGCAAATGCACGATCTCCATTTTTACGACAGTTGTGAGGGGGAGATTACACCAAATATTTCCATGAGAATGAGTGCTGGTCAAAATGAACGTTGACGAGTCCAGTATGATTCAAAATTCTTTGTTCTGATCATGTAGTCACTTGGGTAAGGGTAGTCTTCAATATCAGTACGTTAGCCGCCGATCAGGAGGCCATTTACCAAATTTAAAAGGAATCGAATGAACAGTGCTACAAAATATCCGTGTTCCCTAAATTGTTTTGACGAGCATATATGATGTCCCCAGTAGGCAAGTTGAAACATCAGTCATTATGTTATGGTTCAGGAACCTTCTTATTTGAAGGGGCTGATATGTCTTCTACACGACGATCGTGTCAAATCATATGTATAATTTATCATGCTGAAACAAATATAAATGCGAACCATAATCACTCTAAGGATGTTTTATGTCTGTTATAAAGGGCTGTCGACTTACCCATAATTGTTATGTGTTTCTAAAAATGAAATTAATAATTAGAAGATACATGTACACGTTTTAACACCCAAAGGACGAGACGATATGTTGAGCAGTCCTGGTCATACGGAAACTGTGTCTGCACGTTTGCGGGTTGTAAGAAGGGGATGAAGAAGGGCACATCCTGTTAGGTGCCAGGTGCCAGGTGCCAGCCGACTTAATTGGCAGTCCGTATCTTGCTAATTGGCAAAGTGTAGTTTTAGCTACCTTCCTTTGGTTCACTCCCAAAACTTCTACATGCCAAAACGTCTACAATGCCAAAACATCTACAGAGAGTTGTCATGGCTGATTGAGTTTACCTATTGTTATAAAGGTATAGTCCTCCTGTAATTAAGAAGACTCATTAGCTTCTTTACGATGTTGTTTTAGAAAGGCAAGGAAGGGTACTTTGGGAAGATTAAATAGTTACAGATGTAATTTATTTATACCAGTGCTTACATTAAATTAGTAAGTAGACTAGTGCAAAAAGTGTGTGTACTATTTATTAATACCAGTGCTATATGAGTAAATTGTCTTCATTGTCTTCAAATTGTTTTGTTTTGTTGTATGTTGTACACTTAATTAATTGGACTGTTCAAATCAATGCCCAACAGGGAATAGCCAGGAGATTAGTGGTGCAGTGGACCATAAACTTTATTGTTTTAAGCTGTAGAAGTGTTGGCATGTAGAAGTTTTGGGAAGTTCCTTTTATAGCTGTAATACAATTGTTTGTCTAAAACGTGGTTGTATATTTGCGATGATAGATTTAATTTGTGGTCTGAGTGAGTGCAGATTAGATTGATTGTTTATTGTCAACTACATGTATTATTAAAATGGTTATATCCCATTAGTTAGACGTCCCAATTGTTAGACATTTTTCTTTAGGCAAAGAGGGAATATGCCTACATGTGTAATGGATCAGTCCTAATTAGACTGCGATGCCATCATTTCAGAGCGTGAAAAGTGCACTTTACAGGTAAATATCATCCCGTATTTTTGACTTGGTTAGAATTAACTTCTTCTTTTTTAGGTCCCACATAACTTGTTTCGCTCGTAACCGTTTCAAGTTAATGAAATCATTATCAATATTTCATGTAACATATGTGTAACTGTTCCTTTCTTCTTTTTCAGGCATCGTCGCAAGACCATTCCAGTGTTACCCAGGTCGCGGTCAGCAGTAGACATTGAAGACAAATGATCAGAGACATTGTGAGAACCTGGGTGGATGATGACGCCAGATTCCTATGCTAGGAATGAACTCTTCCAATATTAAATTTCTTTGAAATCAGCAAATATCTGCTGGTGTATACTATAAGAACTAATGCAATGATGCAGAAATCATCAATTATTACTGTTAGTGTTATGGCGATGTGAAATAAAAAGTGACTTCATACAATTTTCTGTCTTTTGTCGCCTATAGGCATTATTCCACTAAAGTGGACTTGTCCAGTTAGAGGTTGGGTAGCACTGATAGCAGGTGTCGCTGAAAATCACTGTTGCATGACTTTGTTTTTTGTAGACTGTAGGCATTAGTGGATGTAGGCATTAGTGGACGCCGCCCACTATTATGCCTTGTACGTCCAATGTTTCGGCAAATAATCGAGACTTGTTCTCGGAGGTTAGCATTTGAAATTTGTAGGACTAATTCATCAAGTACATAAGATTCCTGATTCATCGAAAATCCCCCTCTTACTGCTGTCGGCGAACATTTTGTTAAAGGGGCACTGATCTAACGCAATTCCCCGGGACTGGTTGTTAACTTTGTTATTGTTTTTACCCCGTGATTACCCGGATGATACGCAACGTAACTGAGCGTGACCAGAGACTGCAAGGACAGCTAAATAAACTTGGAGGCTGGAGGCAATATTTTTTCACGCATTTTTGAACAATGATTGGTTAACTGTGATCTATAAAGATTTCGACAAAGGGCGCATGTTAATTAATTTCTTCAGCCTAAACAAACAGACAAAAAGAACGGCGGAGCTCATCGGATGTCGTCATTTGGAAATACTCCAGATAGTTATAGTTTAATAATAAAAAAAAGTATCCATGCAGTGAATTGCGGATTGCGTCGATAATATGATTACTACTCCCTCGTTGTCATCCACGTCTTCTGGTATAACCCTACACGTGTGTATTTGTCGTCATTCACTTGATGCTCAGTTAATGAATTTATTACAGGTACAATTATTGGTAGCACCACTTAGATTACTTGACAAAGGGTCCCATTTGGCATTTATTGTGTCTGGGGTAATTATTCAATCTAAATCCAGGTTTGAAGTGAGGTGAAATGTTTGTTATGTAATATGCACGTGGCAGCACAGCAAGAGGTGAATGATCAGTTGATTTACTTTTTTTTGTAAATCAACGGATCGTTCCTAGTCATCAAAGGATTAACAGAAAATACGTTGATTGATTAGCCACTGTTATCTTGCACAGGGGATATGTCGAAAGTGAGTGTTTACATGTCTAGGTTTACTTAAACAAAGGGAATACACTCATATCATGGCGTAAAGTGCCGATGTAAAAACAACATACTTTGTTCAAAGGGTTAACTGATAATACGTTGATTGATTGCTCATTGTTATCTATCACTCAATGTATTTTTTAGGAACCGTGGACGTTATGACAATAGTTGTCACGTGGGCTTTCTCAGCCGACCCTTGAGACTTGACACCTATGTGAAACACCTGAAACAATCTATGTGATCAGTTGAGAAACGAACACGGGTTATAACATCCCGAAACGATATATATCTTTTAAAATATTTGATTGTAGATTCACTAAAATTGATTAAGACGATCAAAAGGGCCTAAAAACATCACAACAGATTATTATGTAGTATTAGAAACCATTCAACATAGAAATGTACTTTTCAACGTAACATTTTCAGTCTCTTGGTGATGACATTAAACATCAACATGTTTGGAATTCGTTATTATAATAATACAGATGGAAATGTTTTTCAGTCACTTTGTAAAATAACTGAATATTTAGGCGTTTAATAAATTTGAAAATGTTACACATTTTGACAGTAAAAAAATATACACACTATAAAAAAGCAATGCTCAGGTGAAATATTTACTTTGTGTTGCAAGTCAAAACAGTGTAAACGAAAATCGCAAAATTACCAAGCAAGTGACTTATCAAAACTTCGTCACCATTACCGATGCTACCCACAAAGATACCTACATTTCCTTATTATCTCGAAAACTGTATTTCATTTTGTTGATCAATGTGACCATACGCCCTTATTACTACCGATAAAAGTGACTAATGCGCTTACGAATGGCGCAGCAGAGGTCGCGAACTAGTCTAGATTTCTGCTATACATCCGGGTACTCACTTGGAAAAAACAATAACAAAGGCAACAACCAGTCCCGGGGAATTGCTTTAGATCAGTGCCCCTTTAAAGTCTGTCACAAATAGCTACGTCATGCATAAACAGTGTGGAGGTCGGGTGAATAAGTAAAAACAATCGTTCTACCACGTTGTTGACGGTGTCAATATTTGTGAAGAATTTACATCTATTTTCGTTCAATCAATTACATGATGGATATATACTACTGTTGAATACATAGTGTACCACGGTCCACGAAATACACGAAATTTTGATCTAAGGTGTCCTTTCAGAACATAAAATGTCAATGTGTTAAACTCCAGCGGGCACACATTTCCTTTGGGAAAGTCAGCGATTGGACAAAAGTAAGTTTCCAACATCAATCGATATTCGATTATTTATGCATATGCGCGCGTGTATAGCCTGCTTACAGCGATCTACTATCATTTGATCTTACGGTGTGGGGTGCTTACACAAGAACTGATGATGACAGGAGCGTTCCTGATTCTGCTTTTTGCAACCCTTGCCGCTTCTGAAACATGTGTTTCTCTCCATGCAAAGAAAGTTGATGCGTATGATGACAAGAGAGTTACCCAGTCAGTAATGTGGACGTTTAACAATGTGACCAAGGCTGAATGTACGAAGGAGTGTCAAAGGGAAAAGTATTGCGTCAGTTTCCACTTCAGTCCATCGGAACCAGTTTGTGTGGCATTACGGGAACGGTTTGAAGGATCCAGCGTTCCCTCCGTCGAGGCCCTTGGCTATGAACTCTTTCAAACCAATAAACGTAAGTTCACACAACGCGAACGTTTTAAGAACATGGAATATAAGGTGACTTAATTGCAGTTTAAGAGCAGATTGGGAAAAGAATAATGCCGTGACAACTAGGGCTTCCACGAGTCCAATTTTTTGGACTCGAGTACCCGAGGGGTGAAACTCGACTCGTACTCGAGTACCCGAAAATAGGACGTCCTTTAAGAATATTGGTTCATTAGATCAAAATTGCCATCTAAAAGTATTAAAACATGTTATAAGTATAATTGAACTGCACTGAAATGTAAATAGAAAGCGTCCACTGAAATAGCACATATATACCAGCTAATCAGTTGTTAATCTGTGTAAGGGAATACACTTGGCATTTGAGTCGGAGCAAAGAAGCAATAATCTCCTTGATACATTCAATTTCTTAAAGTCGGGAAGGAAAAACATTAATTACATCTATATTATGTGACATTCTCAATTGTTCTAATGTACATCTACTTTCTACAAAGAATACATTATTCAAACAATATTTTTTTGAAGCTTTAATCAATATATTGATGAACAATTGAACATTGAAACAGAGTGATCTCCCTTTATCGAGTACTCGAGTCCTTGATAACGGACTCGAGTCCCACTAAAACCGACCCGGCCTCGAGCACTCGAATAATCGTTGAAGCCCTCATGACAACACGGAGACACATTTGTCGTACAGTTCTAGTCAACCAACACCACTTTGCTGTGTTGTTGTTTCGTTGATCATGATATGTAACATGAAGGGAAATGATATACAGTAAACTACGGTTATAACGAACTCATAGGGACTACTAATTTTCGTTCATTATAACCGTAGTTCGTTATAAGCATATATACAGCATAACTACAGCAAATAGTGGGGACCAAAAAATAAGTTCGTTATATCCGTTAGTTCGTTATAAGCGTGTTCGTTATAACCGTAGTTTACTGTACCGAATGAGGCAGTTCGGATGTGGAACTCTGCTTGTTATCCGTTGTCTGCGTTGGACACACTCTAGGATGCTATATTCTCAGGGCGGTCGGGTAGCCTAGGGGTTAAAGCGTTCGCTCGTCACGCTGAAGACCCGGGTTCGATTCCCGACATGGGTACAATGTGTGAAGCCCATTTCTGGTGTCCCCCGCCGTGATATTGCTGGAATATTGCTAAAAGCGGCGTAAAACCATACTCACTCACTCACTATATTCTCACTTCAACAGAAATACTGGTTAAATCATTGAATTGCTGTTATCCTTTTTAATTTCTTTGTGGTATGAGAGTTAAGATATCCCTATGCTCTTGGCCTTAAATGTCTCGTTATTAAATGTATATTCCTCACCGTCGCGATATGGTAGAAATATTGCCGATGTGACGTCAAACATTAACTCTCTCACTCACTATAGTCCTCTGGTATGTTACAAAATAAACCGATTTAGCATGGACAATTTTCTGAGATTATCCTTCAACTATGAATCTTAGGTTTAACTGTAACCCTTGAATGATTGTGTCCTTATGGCCTGTCGCTTTGAACGTCGATTTTTATAAGCAGCATATTTAATGTTTTAACAATGAGTCAAACACAATATGCCAGATACATTATGTATATGAATGTGTATTGCTTACAATCTCATTTAAATCAGATCTTAGTTCTCGCTTCTGCTAAACATAGATCTGAGGACATCCCATTACGGGTCATGTCAGAACAACCGTTCATCTGACCAATCAGAGCATCGCTTATCAAGTCATGAAAGTGACAGTTTGAATGTGATGTTTTATCCTGCAACCTCGAAAAAAAACAACCCAGGGTATTCCGAACGACAGTTATGGGCTCTATGACTGTATTCATACAATCTAGACCATCTATTAGCCATTCCAGAATGTTCTTTTGTTCAGTTTTTAATTTTTTAATCGAGTGTATGTCAAAATATGTTTCGAAGCGTAGTCGCCAGTTTGAAACTCGTGCCGTGAAGCTCGTTTAAGCTGCGTTCTGATTGGGTATTGTCGACTTCTTGTTAGTCATTCCATTGGTCGGTCAAAATTCGCGAAAGGTCGGTCTGACGTGACCCGTAATGGGATGTCCTCAGATCTTTGTTTAGCGGTAGCCCGAACTAAGATCTGATTTTAATGAGATTGTATTGCTTAAATTTTAGCATTGGCCATAGTAGGGTCAGAATGTGAGCTGGACGTGGACTGTGCCTCCCTCCCTAACTCCCACTGTAACGAGGGGGTCTGCAGGTGTGACGCGGGCTACGGGCCGTACGGAGACATCTGCCGCATCCTCACAGGTACGTGGAATGAAAGGGAGATCTGTTGTTTTATCGCTCCCCTGTACATGTGTATGTAACGTGAAACAGTGTGTGGATGGTTTAGTTAGTAACGTGAATCAGTGTGTGGATGGTTTATTTAGTAACGTGAATCACCGTGTGGATGGTTTAGTTAGTAACGTGAATCAGTGTGTGGATGGTTTAGTAAGTAACGTGAATCAGTGTGTGAATGGTTTAGTTAGTAACGTGAATCAGTGTGTGGATGGTTTAGTTAGTAACGTGAATCAGTGTGTGGATGGTTTAGTTAGTAACGTGAATCAGCGTGTGGATGGTTTAGTTAGTAACGTGAATCAGTGTGTGGATGGTTTAGTTAGTAACGTGAATCAGTGTGTGGATGGTTTAGTTAGTAACGTGAATCAGCTCGTGGATGGTTTAGTTAGTAACGTGAATCAGTGTATGGATGGTTTAGTTAGTAACGTGAATCAGTGTGTGGATGGTTTAGTTAGTAACATGAATCAGTGTGTGGATGGTTTAGTAAGTAACGTGAATCACTGTGTGAATGGTTTAGTTAGTAACGTGAATCAGTGTGTGGATGGTTTAGTTAGTAACGTGAATCAGCGTGTGGATGGTTTAGTTAGTAACGTGAATCAGTGTGTGGATGGTTTAGTTAGTAACGTGAATCAGTGTGTGGATGGTTTAGTTTGTAACGTGAATCAGTGTGTGGATGGTTTAGTAAGTAACGTGAATCAGTGTGTGGATGGTTTAGTAAGTAACGTGAATCAGTTTGTGAATGGTTTAGTTAGTAACGTGAATCAGCGTGTGGATGGTTTAGTTAGTAACGTGAATCAGTGTGTGTATGGTTTAGTTAGTAAAGTGAATCACTGTGTGGATGGTTTAGTTAGTAACGTGAATCAGTGTGTGGATGGTTTAGTTAGTAACGTTAATCATTGTGTGAATGGTTTAGTTAGTAACGTGAATCAATGTGTTGAGAATTTAGTGACGTGACGTGAATCAGTGTGTGGATGGTTTAGTTAGTAACGTGAATCAATGTGTTGAGAATTTAGTTAGTAACGTGAATCAGTGTGTGGATGGTTTAGTTAGTAACGTGAATCAGTGTGTAGATGGTTTAGTTAGTAACGTTAATCATTGTGTGAATGGTTTAGTTAGTAACGTGAATCCATGTGTTGAGAATTTAGTGACGTGACGTGAATCAGTGTGTGAATTGTTTAGTTAGTAACGTGAATCAATGTATTGAGGATTGAGTTACGTGACGTGAATCAGTGTGTGAATGGTTTAGTTAGTAACGTGAATCAGTGTGTGAATGGTTTAGTTAGTAACGTGAATCAGTGTGTGAATGGTTTAGTTAGTAACTTGAATCAGTGGGTTGAGGATTGAGTTTCGTGACGTGAATCAGTGTGTGGATGGTTTAGTTTGTAACGTGAATCAATGTGTTGAGGATTGAGTGACGTGACGTAAATCAGTGTGTGAATGGTTTAGTTAGTAACGTGAATCAGTGTGTGGATGGTTTAGTTAGTAACGTGAATCAGTGTGTGAATGGTTTAGTTAGTAACGTGAATCAATGTGTTGAGGATTGAGTGACGTGACGTGAATCAGTGTGTGGATGGTTTAGTTAGTAACGTGAATCAGTTTGTGGATGGTTTAGTTAGTAACGTGAATCAGCGTGTGGATGGTTTAGTTAGTAACGTGAATCACTGTGTGGATGGTTTAATTAGTAACGTGAATCAGCGTGTGGATGGTTTAGTTAGTAACGTGAATCAGTTTGTGGATGGTTTAGTTTGTAACGTGAATCAATGTGTTGAGGATTGAGTGACGTGACGTGAATCAGTGTGTGGATGGTTTAGTTAGTAACGTGAATCAGCGTGTGGATGGTTTAGTTAGTAACGTGAATCAGTGTGTGTAATGTTTAGTTAGTAAAGTGAATCACTGTGTGGATGGTTTAGTTAGTAACGTGAATCAGTGTGTGAATGGTTTAGTTAGTAACTTGAATCAATGGGTTGAGGATTGAGTTTCGTGACGTGAATCAGTGTGTGGATGGTTTAGTTTGTAACGTGAATCAGTGGGTTGAGGATTGAGTGACGTGACGTGAATCAGTGTGTGGATGGTTAAGTTAATAACGTGAATCAGTTTGTGGATGGTTTAGTTAGTAACGTGAATCAATGGGTTGAGGATTGAGTGACGTGACGTGAATCAGTGTGTTTTAAGGTTGAGTTAGTAACGTGAATCAGTGGGTTGAGGATTGAGTGACGTGACGTGAATCAGTGTGTGGATGGTTTAGTTAGTAACGTGAATCAGTTTGTGGATGGTTTAGTTAGTAACGTGAATCAGTGTGTGGATGGTTTAGTTAGTAACGTGAATCAGTGTGTGAATGGTTTAGTTAGTAACGTGAATCACTGTGTGGATGGTTTAATTAGTAACGTGAATCAATGGGTTGAGGATTGAGTGACGTGACGTAAATCAGTGTGTGGATGGTTTAGTTAGTAACGTGAATCAGTGTGTGAATGGTTTAGTTAGTAACGTGAATCAATGTGTTGAGGATTGAGTTACGTGACGTTAATCAGTGTGTGAATGGTTTAGTTAGTAACGTGAATCAGTGGCTTGAGGATTGAGTTTCGTGACGTGAATCAGTGTGTGGATTGTTTAGTTTGTAACGTGAATCAGTGGCTTGAGGATTGAGTGACGTGACGTGAATCAGTGTGTGGATGGTTTAGTTAGTAACGTGAATCAGTTTGTGGATGGTTTAGTTAGTAACGTGAATCAATGTGTTGGGGATTGAGTGACGTGACGTGAATCAGTGTGTGGATGGTTTAGTTAGTAACGTGAATCAGCGTGTGGATGGTTTAGTTAGTAACGTGAATCAGTGTGTGGATGGTTTGGTTAGTAACGTGAATCAGCGTGTGGATGGTTTAGTTAGTAACGTGAATCAGTGTATGGATGGTTTAGTTAGTAACGTGAATCAGTGTGTGGATGCTTTAGTTAGTAACATGAATCAGTGTGTGGATGGTTTAGTAAGTAACGTGAATCACTGTGTGAATGGTTTAGTTAGTAACGTGAATCAGTGTGTGGATGGTTTAGTTAGTAACGTGAATCAGCGTGTGGATGGTTTAGTTAGTAACGTGAATCAGTGTGTGGATGGTTTAGTTAGTAACGTGAATCAGTGTATGGATGGTTTAGTTAGTAACGTGAATCAGTGTGTTGATGGTTTAGTAAGTAACGTGAATCAGTGTGTGGATGGTTTAGTTAGTAACGTGAATCAGTGTGTGGATGGTTTAGTAAGTAAAGTGAATCACTGTGTGAATGGTTTAGTTAGTAACGTGAATCAGTGTGTGGATGGTTTAGTTAGTAACGTGAATCAGCGTGTGGATGGTTTAGTTAGTAACGTGAATCAGTGTGTGGATGGTTTAGTTAGTAACGTGAATCAGTGTGTGGATGGTTTAGAGAGTAACGTGAATCAGTGTGTTGATGGTTTAGTAAGTAACGTGAATCAGTGTGTGGATGGTTTAGTTAGTAACGTGAATCAGCGTGTGGATGGTTTAGTTAGTAACGTGAATCAGCGTGTGGATGGTTTAGTTAGTAACGTGAATCATTGTGTGAATGGTTTGGTTAGTAACGTGAATCAGCGTGTGGATGGTTTAGTTAGTAACGTGAATCAGTGTATGGATGGTTTAGTTAGTAACGTGAATCAGTGTGTGGATGGTTTAGTTAGTAACATGAATCAGTGTGTGGATGGTTTAGTAAGTAACATGAATCACTGTGTGAATGGTTTAGTTAGTAACGTGAATCAGTGTGTGGATGGTTTAGTTAGTAACGTGAATCAGCGTGTGGATGGTTTAGTTAGTAACGTGAATCAGTGTGTGGATGGTTTAGTTAGTAACGTGAATCAGTGTGTGGATGGTTTAGTTAGTAACGTGAATCAGTGTGTGGATGGTTTAGTAAGTAACGTGAATCAGTGTGTGGATGGTTTAGTAAGTAACGTGAATCAGTTTGTGAATGGTTTAGTTAGTAACGTGAATCAGCGTGTGGATGGTTTAGTTAGTAACGTGAATCAGTGTGTGTATGGTTTAGTTAGTAAAGTGAATCACTGTGTGGATGGTTTAGTTAGTAACGTGAATCAGTGTGTGGATGGTTTAGTTAGTAACGTTAATCATTGTGTGAATGGTTTAGTTAGTAACGTGAATCAATGTGTTGAGAATTTAGTGACGTGACGTGAATCAGTGTGTGGATGGTTTAGTTAGTAACGTGAATCAATGTGTTGAGAATTTAGTTAGTAACGTGAATCAGTGTGTGGATGGTTTAGTTAGTAACGTGAATCAGTGTGTAGATGGTTTAGTTAGTAACGTTAATCATTGTGTGAATGGTTTAGTTAGTAACGTGAATCCATGTGTTGAGAATTTAGTGACGTGACGTGAATCAGTGTGTGAATTGTTTAGTTAGTAACGTGAATCAATGTGTTGAGGATTGAGTTACGTGACGTGAATCAGTGTGTGAATGGTTTAGTTAGTAACGTGAATCAGTGTGTGAATGGTTTAGTTAGTAACGTGAATCAGTGTGTGAATGGTTTAGTTAGTAACTTGAATCAATGGGTTGAGGATTGAGTTTCGTGACGTGAATCAGTGTGTGGATGGTTTAGTTTGTAACGTGAATCAATGTGTTGAGGATTGAGTGACGTGACGTAAATCAGTGTGTGAATGGTTTAGTTAGTAACGTGAATCAGTGTGTGGATGGTTTAGTTAGTAACGTGAATCAGTGTGTGAATGGTTTAGTTAGTAACGTGAATCAATGTGTTGAGGATTGAGTGACGTGACGTGAATCAGTGTGTGGATGGTTTAGTTAGTAACGTGAATCAGTTTGTGGATGGTTTAGTTAGTAACGTGAATCAGCGTGTGGATGGTTTAGTTAGAAACGTGAATCAGTTTGTGGATGGTTTAGTTAGTAACGTGAATCAGCGTGTGGATGGTTTAGTTAGTAACGTGAATCAGTTTGTGGATGGTTTAGTTTGTAACGTGAATCAATGTGTTGAGGATTGAGTGACGTGACGTGAATCAGTGTGTGGATGGTTTAGTTAGTAACGTGAATCAGCGTGTGGATGGTTTAGTTAGTAACGTGAATCAGTGTGTGTATGGTTTAGTTAGTAAAGTGAATTACTGTGTGGATGGTTTAGTTAGTAACGTGAATCAATGTGTGAATGGTTTAGTTAGTAACTTGAATCAATGGGTTGAGGATTGAGTTTCGTGACGTGAATCAGTGTGTGGATGGTTTAGTTTGTAACGTGAATCAGTGGGTTGAGGATTGAGTGACGTGACGTGAATCAGTGTGTGGATGGTTAAGTTAATAACGTGAATCAGTTTGTGGATGGTTTAGTTAGTAACGTGAATCAATGGGTTGAGGATTGAGTGACGTGACGTGAATCAGTGTGTTTTAAGGTTTAGTTAGTAACGTGAATCAGTGGGTTGAGGATTGAGTAACGTGACGTGAATCAGTGTGTGGATGGTTTAGTTAGTAACGTGAATCAGTTTGTGGATGGTTTAGTTAGTAACGTGAATCAGTGTGTGGATGGTTTAGTTAGTAACGTGAATCAGTGTGTGAATGGTTTAGTTAGTAACGTGAATCACTGTGTGGATGGTTTAATTAGTAACGTGAATCAATGGGTTGAGGATTGAGTGACGTGACGTAAATCAGTGTGTGGATGGTTTAGTTAGTAACGTGAATCAGTGTGTGAATGGTTTAGTTAGTAACGTGAATCAGTGGCTTGAGGATTGAGTTTCGTGACGTGAATCAGTGTGTGGATTGTTTAGTTTGTAACGTGAATCAGTGGCTTGAGGATTGAGTGACGTGACGTGAATCAGTGTGTGGATGGTTTAGTTAGTAACGTGAATCAGTTTGTGGATGGTTTAGTTAGTAACGTGAATCAGTTTGTGGATGGTTTAGTTAGTAACGTGAATCAGTGTGTGAATGGTTTAGTTAGTAACGTGAATCAATGTGTTGGGGATTGAGTGACGTGACGTGAATCAGTGTGTGAATGGTTTAGTTAGTAACGTGAATCAGTGTGTGGATGGTTTAGTTAGTAACGTTAATCAGTGTATGGATGGTTTAGTTAGTAACGTGAATCAGTGGGTTGAGGATTGAGTGTCGTGACGTGCATCAGTGTGGTGATGAGAGACAACAATTTCAATGAACCTTAGTTATCAGAATTAAGCTATCTCTTGCTGGGGAACATGTACGATGAGTTGAATGTAGATTGTGTACTCATTCCACACGTCTAAAAATTGCATCACTTCGGGTTTCCCTCCTACATGAAGTGTCAACTCAGCTTTATCCTTACCGTGGATTAAGTGTATTGTGTTTCCTATTTCAGAATGCTCCACCTTCAGCGATAACTTTACCCTGTACAGGTCATTTGTCATCGTTGGCCACGACTTCCTCAGCCAAGGAGCATCTACCTACGAGTCCTGCCCCGCGTACTGTATCAGCGACAACAGGTGTCACTCGGCTGACTTGGACTTTGTTGGTAAAATCTGCTACCTGAATACGCACACGTGGCTGGGAGCGATTCCATCGACGCTTCTTAAGGGCAGCCCAATATTTGATTTCTTCCAGCGAGAGTGCCTTTGGTAACTCACCTGAAGTTCATTAATGAAATACTCCATAGCGGAGTGTTTGAATATGTTAAAAGATGGGATATTATCCCGAAAATAATGTAATTTCCTCAGTGTTTCCAAAAGGTATTGTTCGTTTAAAATACAGGAACTCTTGAAAACGATGTTTTGTGAAATGAAAACGATTGTTCAAAAATGAATTGTCCAAAATAGTCTGAAACAAAACTCCAAAGCAAATGGTCGGTGCTTTGTTCTTCTTCACATAAATATTAAAAATAGAGCTAATTATATTGTGTGAATATGAAAGACAAATACAGTCAAAACCTATTGTTGAAAATTACTCGGGATCAGACACATGGTTTGATTTATCGGGTGTTCGATACATCCGACTAAACTTTTATCGATCCAAGTAATGAAACAACAACTGCAAAACGCAAACTTTCTGAATCTTGCATGTTGGGTGAATGACTGTTGTATAATAAGTAATTAAGGAGAAGAAACTGGCATACCTACACCAATGTGTATACAGTAATCTACGGTTATAACGAACACGCTTATAACGAACTGACGGATATAACGAACTTACTTTTTGGTCCCGACTATTTGTTGTAGTTATGCTGTATATATGCTTATAACGAACTACGGTTATAACGAACTAAAATTAGTAGTCCCTTTGAGTTCGTTATAACCGTAGTTTACTGTATATGCATTTATTCAAATTACACAAATGCTAACTTATCTGAGTAGGTTATGAGAAACTTTTACTCTGGGAACTTTACTTCGATACTTGACACATCTGTGCGGGGAGTTTGTCTTGACGGTGAGGTTTGTTTGTCTAAACCGTTATCCAAAGCCATCGAAATTGGTTCTGGGTAAAGTCTTTTGACGTTGAGGAAGAGACTGAAGTCTAACGGATTTAGATCAGAAATAGAAGTAGTTCAAAGCAACACTCATGGATTGTAGCCATTGAAATGACTGGTTTGTGCACTGGGGCATTGTCCTGGCGGAAGAGCACAACCTTTCGCAGCTTCTTACGTCTATTAATCTTTATTTCATCCTGCAATTGTCTCAAAATTGAAGCATGACATGATTCTTCGAAATACCAGAACACGAAGGCCATACTGTTTCCAGCTGGTGGGACAATCTTTGCCATCTCTGGTAGTGGAGATGTCAAATGCTTCCACTGTGTTGATTTTTCTGTCGTCATCCATTATCCCAAATCGTTGCAATAACCTTTCTGGGTCAGCTTCAAACAGAACTGAATTATCTGCATTGATACATATCTGTTACACTCCTATACATTGATGTATAATCGTTACAACCCAACTACACTGATACGTTGTCTTTACATCCTACTAAAGTGATACTTAAAAGTAATACATATTATTAACAATGGGAAATTGGATAACATTTTACCAACATTTTATCACGTTACATGCTACAAAATACATATTGGAACATGTGAACTAAGGCAATATTACACAACAGTGTACCATTTTCCAGTATCTTAAACTAGCCAATGGTCAAACTGATAACACACATCGGACATAATCCATGACCAGTATCTCTTATTGTGCTGGTCAGATTAAGACAAAACACTTAAGGACTAGACACCATTATCTGTTTGTAAAGCTTTCTTTATCATCCACCCTTATTAAATCAAAGGTATCAGGTACTCAAAGAGTACCATACTAGCTGGGCAGCTATTCTTCTTCATACTAAACTTCATTCATAAACACAGTTATCATTAATGACTTCCTCAAACTAAATTATGTCTTTCCCTCGAGAAAGCATCACCAAAGTTCGCAATAGCAACACTATCGCCATTTTACTCAGAAAATAACATTATCTGTAGCAGCTAAAACAGGTATAAATTACGGACGACAGTCGGTCACACATCACTCTGTGGCTGTCACTGTTTAAAATAAATATTAACTGGTTTTTTTTACTCAAGGAAGAAACGTTGCTAGCTTGTACTATGTTAAATCGTAACTATATTCTATTACCCTTGGCAGTACCTGTAGGTTTGTGGTAATTGGAACATGTCCCACTTTGTATAGTTTAGACAATCTCGTTGCTGTTGCTGTGAGTAGAGTATGTCAATTCTGTTTAACCCTCTTGTGTTGTGTACCTTTGAATATGTATGGAAACATATGTATTGTCTTGTGTGAATGCCCACTCGGGTAATGTGTTAGTTCGAGTGTGTAGGATATATGTTATTCCACCATATGCACATTGTTGTAAATTGAATAATAATGATGCTACTATTTATCAATCATTGTCCATCCTTCAACATCATATTCATCTTGTGTGTAAGTACATGCTTAGTACACTCTTCAAAAAAAGAAACGCACAGGTAAATTTTTAGTAAAGTTAATGTACCTAATAAAGTCGATATATTTAATGTAATATAATAGATAGGAAAAATGAAATTTTGGAGCTCGACAGTCACATGTTGTCGTTGTTCAAAGGCATTTAAAACTGTTCAGGCCATAAGGTAACGCTGAACTAAGTATCTCATGTGACCGCCCCAGGCAGCAATCACGGCCCTGCATCTCCTAGGCACATACTGGATAAGTGTACGAATTCTGTCCTGCGGAATTCTGCGCCATTCTGCCTGCAACGCGTTGGCCAGTTGTGGGAGTGTCTACGGTGTGTTCTGACGTACACGTAGACGTCGATCGAGTTCATTCCACGAGCTGTGTGGAATGGAGCGTTGTCCTGTTGAAACAGCTCCCTCTGGCGGTCAATGATTGGAAGAAGGTGAGGTTGAAGAATTTGATTCATGTAGCGATTTACTGTCAAATTTCCCTAAACCACAACCAAGTCAGATCTCGTGGTGTAGGATATGGCCCCCCAACACCATGATGCTACCGCCACTGAAACTGTCGAATTCATGTACACAATGTGGGGCAAAACGCTCATTTCGACGACGGTATACTCGTTGTCTTCCATCTCTCTGGTGAAGAAGAAATCGTGATTCATCCCTAAACCACACTCGTCTCCAGTTTCCCCTATTCCTAGGCTGTAAGGTATGGCATCAACGTAAGCGTCGCTGTCGATGGATCTGTTGCAAAACAGGGACGATAACTGGTCTTATGGGTCGGATTCCAGCCTCATGAAGATGGTTCCTGACAGTCTGGTCCAATATCCTCATCGAACCAGGGATGCGTTCTGCAGTCTCCGTACCTGTGACATTACGATGACGTAGGTAGAACAGTCGAATGTACCGATTCTGTGCAGGGGTGGTAACTCTTGGTCGGTCGGTTCTCGGACGGTCTGTAGTGGAATTGAACTATGTGTATCGGTCACAAAGACGGCAAACAGTGCTGTGATGGACGTTGAAGTGGCGTGCATCAGAAGAATGTGATTGCCCTCTTTGGATACGTCCTATGGCGATGTTCCTATCGGCAGCGCTGAGTCTATGGTGGACGCTGAAGTTGGGCGATGAGTATGACATTTTCGAACTTGGCTTATGCTTGGATTTTTATAGCCAATATCAGTCCACCAATATCATCCAATAACATATATCCAATTTATCCAAACTACATTCTACCCGTGCCTTTCTTTTTTTGAAGAAACCAGTCATTGATTATATCTTATCTAATCATTTATATGACTCTGTGTCTGACTAATAAACTCACTGTTTAGTCACTCAGGTTTCATGATCATGTGTGGGTTGGTCGTGTGCAGCGGTACTGTAAGGCGGCTTAATCCCCGACTGGCGTGTGAGTAATGTTACGAGTGACCGTCCCCACTCTATATGATCCATGGCTGCCAAAAAGTTGCTCGTGGTGAGCATTCCTATTTACAAAATATACGAACCCAGAGAACAATCCCGACCTGCAATTGTGTTCAACATGGTCCCGATGATGTACTCGTGGACATGAGTCTACTAGAACGACCATTGCCAACGGAAACACCCTAAAGTATGGCGATCAACATTGCAAACACTGTTCATTTTTGTGACCGATGGTTATGTGGCCTGACACAGTGGTTAGAGTGAGTGAATTTGGTTTAACGCCGCCTTTAACAGTATTCCAGTTATATCACGGCGTGTCAGCTTAATGTGGGAGGATAGCCCGAAGTGATGCAGGTCTCAGACGTTTACCACTTCGGTGAAACCCACGAGCACGGGTATGGTGCTGACAAACCTAGAAACATAATCGGGGCGAACCGGGATTCGAACCCACAATCAAAGGTTGCTGGCGTGCCCAAGGGACGCAACTCTGCACAGCGAATCGCGGCGCCTTAGACGACTGGGCCACCCGTGCCCCCCACAATGGTTAGAAGGGTTTTACTTGTGTGTGTTCTGCAATGTTTGATCAGCTGTTGTTTTGGTGTCTACCGTACACAATTTTTCAGTGGATAATAGGCAGCCATTGTTAAAAAGATCGATGTTTTCATACCCACGGCTTAATTTAAAAAAAGGTATCATTAAGTAAAAAGGATACCTCTTTTTAACCAGTCATAATCAAGCAATCTTCAATGTCATGGTAGAATAATTCTTAATCTTACCACTAGTTATAATAGGGTGTCTGTAAAGTTTTAAAACATACAAAATATTATGTTCCGAATGTTTGACGACGTAAAGCGTGCCGAAAGCATTCTTGATTAATGCTATTTTGCGCGATATATACGTTACACACCATCACTTGCTACTTACGGTGGCCCGTAAGGGACATGGAGTCTGTTTTTCAATATTTTGATGTTTCACTTACTTTTATCGTAACCTTTTGCAAATTAACACAATTTGTCATGATACAAATATGTGATAAATCATGTATAAAAACAACCGAAAACATGGAAATTGTACTTTCAAGTAGCTATTGCGTCGCTGAAATGTGAAGCGAAATTGTCAAAAACTAAAATGGAAATGTCAAAAACTAAAATGGAAATGTCAAAAACCAAAACGAAAATTTAAAAAACCAAAAGAAAATGTCAGAAAACTAAAATGAAACCACAGAAAACTATTTCCACCGCGGTGATAATATTTCCACCATGATGTAAATAGTTTTTTTTCCGCGGTGGAAATGGTTTTCT